GCAGCAAAACTACACTCAAGTGAACAAAGAGTTAGGTTAAGAGTCACCAGCAAAAATGTCTGGTTTTCAGTAGGACTCTGGAATGAAACTGCCGAGGGAATTGTACAGTGCTTTTTCAGGTCTATTAGGTGGGACTTTTGAGAAATCTCACAGCAGTGGGTTTTAAGGCATGTTTCCTGACCATCCAGGAGCCTGAAAACCTTCTCGGGGGCCTAGGAGATCAAAACTGTTTCCATAATGTCACCAGGTTGTTATTTCCGGCACTCATTGTCTTGTAAGAGTTCAGTGCAATCCCAGACACAACACGGCGCGTAATACTGCAGGTGATCCAGTGCAGCAGCGGATGTGAGAGTCCAGATGCCTTTGTTAAATTGGGCTTTAAAGACGGTTTCAAAAATGTAAAATTATTTATTTTTGGGGGGGCGTTGGGAGCTTTTTCCAAAAAATATTGATGTCTAGATATTTATTCTTATCAAATGGTTTTCATAATTGTTTTCAATTTTGATGTCAAATCCACACACACATGCGAAAAGCTCTTCGAGAATTCTTAAGACATGTTAAGTGTGTAAGGCAGTTCCTGGACCAAATCGCTGAGAACGGTCCTGTAAGGTAAATGACCCCACTGAAGCTTGGACGAGAGCAAAGGGGACCTTATGAAATGCACGTGAGAGGAGCGGGTAGTGGCTGTGGCTGTGTCTGTCGTAGAGTGCGTACCTGGCGTTCATGAGGTCTTGGGTTCAGGTCCCAGCATCCGAACAAACAAAACTTAGGTGAGAGGCCGTTACGAATAGTTAGCAGTAAAAATTAGCCTTTGTACTAGCTGCTGTGACCTTTCCATGGTTCCCTAACAGGCACTGCTGTAGGAAGTAAGGCTGTTGCTTCATTTTTGCTGTCTGGTTTGGAAATTGCTGGGGATTGAACCAAAGGCTTCCTGCCCGCATGCTCCCCGAGGCTATTGCTAATATTCCTGTTTCGGAGATAGGAAAATTGAGCAGAGAAGTTGTGATTTACGAAAGATCAAGTGGAAAGGTAAGCTGAGCTGGAATCGTTGGGTGCACAGGTCCCTCAGTTCCAGACATTTCCATCTCCTGTGCGGACTGCATTATTACCAGGGTGAGCCATCCATTAGCTGGAAATTTTCTGGTGGACCCCAGAGTCATGAGAAGCGCCCCAGTTTCATGTTCTTGACAGTGAAATAAGTAACAGGCACCACCAGTCACTGGAATGATATCAAGACCTTTGAAACTCGCTGACCAGCTGGAAAAACGATCACAGAGAAAGCGGGTAGTGCCTGTCTGGAGAAAATACAGCAGAACAAATCCCTAATTAAAAAAAAAAAAAGAAAATACATTGGGCCAGGGATTTAGCTCAGCGGTTCGGCGGCCTGCCTTGCAAGCACAAGGACCCGAGTTTGATCCCCAATACAAAAAAAAAAA